TTGGGTGGTGAACCAATGAGACAAAAGACCTCTCTCCGTGTCTCTCCCTGTCTCTATAACTCTTTCAAATAAACAAATTTTTTAAAAAAAGATAACTGCTTCCCAGGCTGTTGCTAATCTCAAAAAACTCTTTGTACAAAACAAAGAATGTTGGCTCTCTTTTCTAAACCAACCTATTTCAAAATGCAAATGTTAGCTGGCCATAAGGAGAGCCTACAGCAAAGCATTTTCAGCATCGTACTCAGTGCCAGTGTCTATTTGAAAGATATGTGTGATTCACAGCCTGCCTGCCACTTAAGGACAGATTGTCAAAGACACGGCTGCTTCAACACAAACATCTTTGGATTCATTAGCCCATGTGGTTTTGGATGCTAGAGTAGCTCCAGAAAGCTTACTAGCAGGACATGGGAGTGGAATGTATAGTTGCCAATACTACTCATTGTAGCTGCCTTAATACTTCTGTGGGAGTTAAAAGTAAATAAACAGGGGCCAGTGGTGTGGTATTGCAGGTAAAGCTGTAGCCTGCTGCACCGGCTTGCCATGTGGGTTCAGGTTTTGAGTTCAGCTGCTCCACTTCCAATGCAACTCTCTGCTAATGTAGCTGGGAAATCAGCAGAAGATGGTCTAAGTCCTTGGGCCCCTGTTCCCACATGGGAGATTCAGAAGAAGCTCCTGGCTCTGGCTTTGGCCTGGCCCAGTCCCAGCCACTATAGGCATTTGGGTAGTGAATCAGTGAGTGGACCATCTCTCTTTCTTTCTCTGTCTCTCCCTGTCTGTCTCTGTAAATCTGCCTTTAAAATAAACAAAATAATCTTTTCTTTCAAAAAGTAGATAAAATAATGCAGAAAACATGCATGATTACTAGCAGTGAGGGAAAAAATATCCCTTGCATGATGTATCCATTTGTCTATTTCACGCTCAAGCATCCCTTTTTGGCTCAGGATTACAAATTATCTTAATCTTTATGGATATTTTAAATGTTTCCACTGTATTCAAATGGATGTTTTATACTGCAAAATGTTACATCAGTCCCCCCCCACCACATACACATACAAATTATATTAATGCAAAATCAGCTTTTTCAAGGGCCAAACTCTGGAACCAGAGAATGCTTACTTATATGCAAAAAAGTTTCATTCCTCAGCCCCAAATCTCTTGCCCTGATCAGTGGGAAGGAGCTACAGCAGTCATTGCCTCATTCCCTCAAAACTGAGGAACAAACCAACAACAGAAAAGGGGGATTGATAACAACTCTCCCTCTGTCAAGTTTCTTCCTTTTGCCCCAAACTCAAAAACCTGCTGTAATATTTCCTCAATTTTTTTCTAATTGTTCCCTTCCCTGTGCTTTTATAAGGGGTCTGATGATAATCAAGTTCCTGTTTTCTTTGGAGAGCTGCATAGGACATGGTTGTACAGCAAGACAGAGCTGAGAACTGCAACTCTTTAGACATGGGCACAAAAAGAACCAGGGAACAGAGTGTGACTGGAGCTTAAACAAGAGCCTTTTCAAGAGTGAGGGTCCCATTGAATAAAGAACAGGATCCTATGTTATTATAAGTTACCATCTGTGACCTGATTCTAAATCTTTCTAGTTAGAATTTGACCTTCCAGCATTTCCTACCTAATCAATTTGTTGCCTGATCAGAGAGGCAGATTTGAGTCATAGCTGTTGTCCTCCTTGCTGGCTAGTGCATAAGCTCTTTCTCCTTCAAGCATTGGTGTCACAGGTTGGTCTCTGTGCATATGGGGCAGCAAAGCTCATTTGCTAAGACTACTTCAGTATTCAATGACGCAGACTGATGAACCTGAAAAGGACTTGGAGAGGTTGGTTTAAGTCCTGTGATTTTAAAATCATAGGCATTTTTACATGAAATTGAAATGAAGAGGATGTTTTAAGCCAAGAAAATTGGAATATTCTTTGGATGTAGAGACAGTAAAGTGAATGCCAATCCTATTAAGAGCTGTTACAGTAGAGAAGAGGGGCTTGATGCCAGATCAGAGTTTGAAGAGTGATGGATAATGAGTGAATACATCAATTAAACATAAACATAAATTTACAAAATATGTAATCTTTAAGCTCTTGAGAAAATCTTCTTAGTACTTCCCTGCTTTGGAGAAATGACATCCAAACTGGATACATGAATGCTAATCTAGATTTGTATTTCCAACTTAGTATTTTGTAATCATTTTCCTTGAAATTTGCTTATGTTTATGCTTTAAGACTCTCATAACTTGCAATATCACATGCTAGAATGTTTAATCTGTGGATTTGAATTCCCAAGTCCCAGATATATCACAGACTAGCTATAGAAACTTAAGTAAGCTTCTTACCCTCTCTAAACCCTTATTATCTCATAAAACATCAATAATGAAATCTCTCTCAGAAAAGTACTTGAGAATTAAATGAGATTTAACATGTAAAGTTCCATTAAAATGGACACAGAAACTGCATAGTACTTGATAGCCACTGTCAATAAAAAAAAAAATCCTTTACACTGTCTCCTTTTCCTTTAATATCAACACGTTTGTATGTGTTCTTCTTCTCCTTCGATTGTGTCTTAACCAGCCTTTCATCAGTTCATCTTCCACACTGCTACCATGACAAACTTTCTGAAAGGAATGTATGATCACATCGCTGCCTTGTTTAAAGGTCTTAAAAGTTGTGTTTTTTTGTTTGTTTTTGTTTGTTTGTTTGTTTGTTTTTTGACAGGCAGAGTGGACAGTGAGAGAGACAGAGAGAAAGGTCTTCCTTTACTGTTGGTTCACCCTTCAATGGCCACTGCAGCCAGAGCACTGTGGCCGGCGCACCGCGCTGATCCGAAGCCAGGAGCCAGGTACTTATCCTGGTCTCCCATGGGGTGCAGGGCCCAAGCACTTGGGCTATCCTCCACTGCACTCCCTGGCCACAGCAGAGAGCTGGCCTGGAAGAGGGGCAACCGGGACAGAATCCGGTGCCCCGACCAGGACTAGAACCCGGTGTGCCTGTGCCGCAAGGTAGAGGATTAGCCTAGTGAGCCGCGGCGCCGGCTTAAAAGTATTTTAATAATCCCACTCGTAACTACCAAAATAGAGTTCAAGTTTCTTAGATTAACACCTATGATTTATCATGTCCTAATGTTTGTCCTAATGATTTAGCCCTACATCCTGCAATTGTCACATAGACACTTTTAATCAACCTAAAAAAAAAAATGGTCCTTTCCTCAAACACACAGACTTTAAGCCTTTGCTATTCTTCAGGTTGTTGCCACTATTCAGACATCTTAATCTCTCACCAAAATCAAACCTCTTTGTAAAAAAATTCCTTTAACATCCACCTGATTGATAACTATTTTTTTCAGTGCTCCACCAAAATCCCATGCATTTTTCTTTCTTGTGTGGGTGTTTGCAACTCAGACATTAGAGCTAGACCGCCTGGCTTCATATTCTATCTCTGACATTTATTGTTTGTCTTTAAACTCATTACTCTATGTAATTCAGTGTTCTCAACTACAAAATGGAGGTCATAATAAAAAATATTTGTAGACTGTAACCAGGAATAAGTGAGTTAATATATGTAAAGTGCTTAGCATTTAATAAATCTTAGCTCTGAAAACAATTTGACAGCTGTGACCCCTTAACACAGTGATAACCCATTCCACTGTACTAGATGCTCCTGGATGTACTATATGCTTCCTTTTGCTTGTGTTAAAGTTCCAATATTTAACGATTGTTCAAATGACCATTGAAGCTCAGTATTTATTGATTAGTGAAATGAATGGGTATACTAAAGAATAAATTTTACTATATTACATTAGAGGACTGGAAAGTATGAACCTAGGAATAGTTAGGCCTCCAAGGAACACCTCTTAACTGCATGCTAATAAATTAAGACAAAGCAACTCTTTTGAGCTGTGTTCCATTTTTCTATCCCATCATTCACTATTTGCTGAGAAAATTAACAATTATAAATTCTAGTTAGATATAGTTCTTGAAGAGAAAAAAGGAATATTCCTTGATGACATACACATTATGTTGTGTGTGTGTGTGTGTGTGTGTGTGTGTATATATGCTACAGGAATATTTTTTAAAATGGGACTCCAATATAAACTACATATATAATTTCAGTTAAAATTTAATTTTCATTTTTAAAAGAGATTCTATTTTTAAATTTTATAGCTGGGCTTTCATTAAATATTCAGGTATTATAATGTGATTAATCCAAAGTATTGTATACTCTAGTCACTAAAAGTGGCATATTTACTGAATAAATAAAAAATAGATTCAAAACCATCCCAATGTGCTTTGCTTACTTATTGTACATAATATGAATAAAGCTGACCAGTTCAGAAAGCACTTCTTATTTTTTAATGAATCTACTTGTACAACCTCTCATTTTACCTGATCAGTTCTTTGGAATCTGAATTACTTGCTTTAAAAATGACCAAAATGATTTGTTGTAAGCGACTACCTTTAAAGATTTACTTTTCAAAAAACAAAATAAACTGATTACTGGGTAACAGCAAATTATGTTTCTGATTCAGATAGCTTCAAATTGTTAAGCACATGTAATTAGACCAAAAATAACTTACCTATGTGAAGTATGGTAGAAAATTCTCAATCCCTCCATTATAATGTTTTCTTGTCATCCAGAAAATTATGCAAAGCATAAATGCACTTCCAAAGCTTTTTAAATTTGGGTAAAAAGGAGTAAAACGTGATGCACAAAGCCCAAATAGTAAAGTTACAAAAAAAGAACAATTATTTATTAATATATGATCTCAGTCTATATATTCTTTATGGAGATTCTTTTTCCCCAAATATGTTTTTCTATCACAGATCTGATTACGACCTTATTGAAATGAACCTAAACATCTGAACACATGGAGAATATTCTTGACCTCGTTACCATGTCCATAATCAAGACGTGGTGTTTTTCCTTAGTCTTCCTTAAGGCTTTTAATAATCTATCAACTTGATTCTCTATCACTTGCTTCATGTACCTTTGATGGCCTTACACTCACCTTTCAGTATTGATGTCGGACATTTCTGGTCTTGACTTCATTTTCCCACAACTGACTCACCCGACACCTTAGAATTGTGCATGCTGTGGCCATTCACACAGCAATGAATAAGAACTCCCACCTGAGGAATATAAATTAGATGATTTATAAAGAAAAGAAATGGAGACTGAACCTGCATACATTTGAAAAATACTGACTTAACACATTAATATCAAAAGGCAATATTAGATTTTAATATTCAGTGTAAGTAGAAAAATGTAAATCTTAGAAAATAACTTTGCAGGGGTTTGAAAATGTGGGAATTATCCTCATAGACTTGAAGTATGAAAAAATTAATCCCACATATTTATTCATTACATGCAAAAGTTGAGCAAAGAAAATATTAAGACTGAATGATTAGGTATAAAAGCATTTTAAGAAGCAGCATCCCAATCAATGGTTCAGCTGTGCTGAGCAGAGCAAGCTAAACCTAGTTTTTTTGTGTGTACTTTTAGTCAAGTTATTTTGCATAATTACCACCAAATGTTTAATATTCCTGAACAGGAACAGATAAATAATCATGTATTTTATTTCAGAGATTTCTTCATGTAAATTAACAGTTGTTTACAAAAAGAGGAACATGAGCTATTTAAACTAAGAGTGTGGATATCAGTAACATAAAAAACTTTGCTTTAAAATATGAAATTCTTAAATAGTATGTGTATTGTGAAAAAAAAGCCAACCTGGGTCCATTTTTTTTAAAATATGAATGCTTAAAATTATTTTATTTGTAAGTAAGACATTTACTATTCCTGTCTGCATTTTTCTCCTGAGAAAAACAGCATTATCTCATTACAACATTTGGAACTGCACTCAAGCATAATTTGGAAGAACGTAGTCTAAATATGTCACATGCACCTATAACTAGATAAGTACTGATACAAAACCTGAGTTAGAGAATGTGATATTTAAACATCTTTGTAACTGATTCCCATAATAGGATGATGTTTGTGCTAATGACACAGTTATCATATTAAGCATATGTACTATTTCTAATTCAAAATCACCTGCGATTTTGATGAAGTCATCAAAGAGACATCGCAACTCTCCATTGTTCTTGAACCTAATGGTTTAATTTATAGGCCAAGAGAGGAACTCTGAGAATAAAGAACAAGGAGACATATACATGATTATAGTACTGAAATGGAAAAGCAGTGACTACTTCAGAGGATGCAACTCAATGAAATAATAACTTCAACTATATCCAATCTCATGTAAAAATTTAGTTTGGACAATCTGGAACATGCCTTGATGAGAATGGATTATGACATAGTAAACTCAGTTCTTGGACTAATGCAGGTTCTGCCACCAACCCTGGTATTACAGAAACATTACTAAATGCCAGTGAGTTTCAGTTTCTTTCATCTGCTAATTGAGGATAAATCTGCAAGATGATTATGGGCAAATACTAATATGAAAATATTCAGTATATATGTACAAAGATGGCAATTCCTTTTTTTGTTGCTTTTTTGTTTGTTGTTGTTTGGGACAGGCAGAGTGGACAGTGAGAGAGAGAGACAGAGAGAGAAAGGTCTTCCTTTGCCGCTGGTTCACCCTCCAATGGCCGCCGCTGCAGCCGGCGCACCGCGCTGATCCTGGCAGGAGCCAGGAGCCAGGTGCTTTTTCCTGGTCTCCCATGGGGTGCAGGGCCCAAGCACCTGGGCCATCCTCCACTGCACTCCCGGGCCATAGCAGAGAGCTGGCCTGGAAGAGGGGCAACCGGGACAGAATCCGGCGCCCCAACCGGGACTAGAACCCGGTGTGCCGGCGCCGCAAGGTGGAGGATTAGCCTATTGAGCCACGGCGCCGGCTAAAGATGGCATTTTCTATGGTTTGAATGCTTTATATAAAGCTCATGCTGAAACTTAATTGCCACTTTAAAAGTATTAAGAGGTGGGACGACAATGAGTGTTTAGGCCACAAGGATTCCACCCTCATGGTTAGGATTGGTATAACTATAAAAGGATGAATTTGTCCCCTTAGTGGTCTCTCCAAACCTCCTTCTGCCCCTGTTTCTCACCATAGGATGATGCAGCAAGAAAATTATCAACAGATGTTGACCCCTTTATCAAAGTCTTCACAGCCTCCAGATCTGAAAGAAATGAATTTTTCGTCATGATAAATTACCCAGATCATGTAATCTGTTAAGCGGCACAAAACAAAGACAAGGTTTCTTAGCTGGCATTCCTTACCAACAGGCTCCCAGACATAAATACAGGACCTTGGGCACATTTTCCCTTGCCATACCCTCCCTGTAAACAGCTTTCAAAGGAGATTCCATCTCTATGGCAAACAGTCGACGTCTATACACGGAATTGATTTCATTGAGATTCCAATTCCATGGGAAATATTTAGCTCTATTAATTCATGGTAATTTTATTACTTCTGTGTTAAGAGTGAGTGTCTTAGAATTCTACCTTCTAGAAACATCACCACCATGTAAGTACACCCGTACATATGCAGAGCTGTGTTTCTCCCAGCTCCTCCATAAATCATGTAAATTTTGAGGTGGGAAATGGAGTTATACATAATGCACTCATGAGAACAAGAGCATCCATTCTTCTTGTCTCTGTCTCAACTGAAATGTAGCTCTTCTCCATCCAGTCCACATTATTCTCATCACCTTTCCTGGACCAGCTCATGGCCCCATGCCTGGTTATAACTGCCAACGCCACACACACAATTATGAATCCTTGCTTCAGATTTCTTTGTTATTTTCCCATCTGAATCCTGGAAGTCATGACTTTTTGAGATTTTCAAACTTTGATCTAACTGAGAATCTCTTTGAACTTTTGCTATTCTCACCACAGGTACCATTTTGGGCTGTGTGTTTTCTATATTACACCATGGGTAGCCAAGTAATTATTTATGTCTTCTCCTATCTAGTAGCTATCAAACATTCTTTTGAATAAAACTTCAGTCAAGCTCCTCTGAGTCCTCTGCTTAACTGGGTTTGAATTTATATTTCCTTCTTTGCTCTACAGAATCCAATTTTAGTAGTAAACCTTTTAAGTTAGTATTGGAAAAATATCCCCATGCTTGTTATCTGACCACCATGAATATTCTGTCACCCTTACCGGCCTTCAGTAATAATCCTATCAGTTGGCTTAGTCAGAAGTCCCCTTCAGCTGATGTTTCCCAGGTAATTTTCTATCCACTGATGTCTACCTTGCTCCGTGGTTGTAAATATCTCCTTATGCAAGTCAGGGTTGAATATAATCTCTCTTCCCAAATCAAGAACCCACAGCAGTCATCACTGTAACTATCACCCCTTTGAATAACTTCTGCCTTATCATCTTTAACAAACATGTGGATACTTTTTTTTGCTTTTCAACAGGTTTGTGTCATCTCCATTCTTTAGGGATTGTTTTTAAAATCAGTAAATTGAGTGCTTCCCAGAGACTACTACTTGTATTGTCTAATTATATTCTTTTTATAATAACTTTTCTCATACATTAATCAGTTTAAACGTCACTTTCCTAGTCTATTATATCAATTTGTGGCTCAAATTCCAACAGGCTTTGGATCTTGATAATTAGATAGAAGCTTCCGGCAGTTAAGACAGAAAAAGAAGTAAAATCTGTGTCTCAGTAAGTTCATTGCAAAATAAACAACTTTGAAACTCTCTTTTTAAAATATTGCCTCTACTATGGTATACAGACTTCCAGAAATAAAGAATTTGTACTGTTTTTATTCTGTTTTACACTGATCATTGCTCCCTTGAGAATCTGACTCCTAAAATAACCCTCTGACTGCTTCAGGAGGTGATCCCATGGGAAAGGAATAGAAAATCATGGTTTCAGTGAAAAAAACTTTGCCAGCACACTCGCCACTGCCAAAGATGTTATACCAGGCTCAAACGTCCAGGTACTTAAACATTCACCTCAAAGAAGCTTTATGCCTCATTCTGCCCACAAAGTTGCTCCAATTTTTCTAACTACTTTATATGTCCAAATCCAAACTGTCCTAGATTCAGTCCTACTTCTGCCTCTTCGATAACTCACTTTAGTCAAAATATTTTCTTCCTCACTAGAAATTAATAAAGCATTATATTTATATAATTGTCACTAATTAGGACAATTTTCATTCATATTGAATTTTTATATGTGGTTGCTTTGTAATATTGTGTTAAGTTACCTAAATATGAGGGAACTTCCAAAGTTCATGGGAATTTGGCATTATCTTTTAATTACATTTTCCATTAACTTTTTGAAGCTATTTATCTATTAAATGTGTGTAGTTGGGGGTCGACACTATGGCATAGTAGGCTAAACCTCCAGCATCCTGTATGGGCATCAGTTGATGTCCCGCTCTCCTCTTCTGATCCAGCTTTCTGGTATGGCCTGGGGAAGCAGTAGAAGATAACTCAAGAACTTGGGCCCCTGCATCCAAATGGGAGACCTGTAAAAAGCTCCTGCTTCCTGTCTTTCAGATTGCCTCAGCTCCGGTTGTTGAGGCCATTGAGGGAGTGAACCAGTCGATGGAAGACCTTTCTTTTTGTCTCTCCCTCTGTCTGTAACTCTACTTCTCAAATAAATGAATAAAATCTTAAAAAAAATGTGTGAGAGTCCCTTCTTTACCAGAATTGATTAGTTTTTTTTAAGATTTATTTATTTATTTGAAAGGCAGAGCTACAGAGAGCGATCTTCCAACCACTGGTTCACTCTCTAAATGGACACAACAGCTGGCACTGGGCCAATCCAAAGCTAGGAACCAGGAGCCTCATCCAGGTCTTCCATGTAGGTGCAGAGATCCAAGTACTTGGCCATCTTCCACTGCTTTTCCAGGTGAGTAGCAGGGAGCTGGATAGGAAATGGAACAGCCAGGACTCAACCTGGTGCCCATATGGGATGCTGGCAGCCCAGGTAGCAGCCTTATCCGCTATGCCACAGTGTCAGTCCTAGTTAGCTTGTTTTAAGAAAAGACTGAATCAAAAGAAGTAATGCATATGATTGTATCTAAATGATAGATTGCATCAAACCATTTATCATTTCCCAGAGACTATCAGAACATCTAACACCTGTATCAGTTTCCTAAGACAACCATGACATAGTGCTACACATTGAATGCTTCAAATAATAGAAATGTGTTCACTCACAATTGTGGAGGTTCAAAGTCCAAAATCAAGGCAGGGCCATGATTCCTATATAGCATATGCAGAGAAATACTTCCTTGCCTCCTCCTCACTGGATTTTTATGGTAGCTGTTAAAGCTTGGTATTCCCTGGACTCCCAGTGGTACCACACCAATCTTTTCCTCTGTGGTCACATGGCATTCTCCATTGTGTTTCTTTTTTTCCCATGGCTGTTCTCCTCACTGAATGTGTCTACGTCCAAATTTCCCTCCTCTTAAAAGGAGATTAGTCATTTTGGAATAAGGCTCATCCTAAAGACCTTGATTTAATTTGGTAGCATCTGAAAAGACATTATTTCCAAATAAAGTCACCTGACAGGTGTGACAGCTTAGCACTTCAACATATTTTGGGGGGAAATTCACAATTCAATTTATAAGAACAACTAATAAAATATGCATATAGTGGGTAATTGAATAATGGAGAATATCCTACACATGAAATCTTTTCATAATTTAACAGTACCTTTGTACAAGCAAATTGATCAACATTTAGCAGCATCATAAAGTTGATCCCTACCTTTCATCATTTGAATTCAAGTACGTCTGCTATGTCACTGCCTACTTCCCTCTTTTCCCTGAACAGTCCTTCATTTTTATTTTAAAAGCTTTTGATCTGAAACTGATTGCTACTGTGACTTTCCTGTTAATGGGCTAAGCCAAGTCCATTTAATCAGTAATGGAATTGCAGCAATTAATCTATTTTATTACAAATCACTGAGAAAAATCAAGCCCAAAAGAAATAAAAAATGATGTTGTGCCATACATTCACTTTTCTCTTTTAACCTACAACCTCGGGTCAGCTGTTCAATTTCACTGCAAATAAATTTAAGATAATTCACATTTATCAACCTTATACTGTACCTGTTATTAGACACAATGGGATTTGCCACTGTATTGAAATCAAAATACTAAAGGTGCAACTGTGAAAACTGAAGCAGCACTCTATCACATATATGGTATATGTGATTATTGATAATGATATATAATTCAAGGGTAAGTCATTAATATTGTGGTCAAAATAGCATGTGATTTTTGATCTCAATCAATATTACTTACAACTGAAGAGTGAGTGATTAGAATATTATTGTGCTCCTACTGGAAAATGCTAAACTCCCACCATATTAAATTTTATACAATTGTATCACTTTTATAGGCACTGTTTTTATAACATCATTCAAAATGCTTTATAGCCACTGCAAGATATCCATAATGGCACTTACATCAAAGTAATGCATGAGAAAGCTGCACAGATATAATATTGTATATAAAAAATTTTGGAAGCATTTCCATCTGCCAGTGTAATATAAACCTTAAGAAAACATCCACAAATAGAGGGTTCATGGATTTTCACATTAACACTGTACCTTAGTGAGAAAATGTATTACTAAGAAGAATTATACATAAATATACTTCACAAACCTATGATTTTTTCATGCAGTACAAAGCAGTAACCAAATGTTTCTAAATATTTGATTTCACTGCATTAAATACAGATTGCTATTCACCATTATAAAATATGAAACTCTTATGATAATAGCAACTTGTATTTTTTGGTTGTGTGAAATGGTTTTCCTTGTTCTGCTCATCCTCATCTTTGGCTTTACCTCCCCCTATTCTGGGTCTCTCACCTATTGGCACAGTAACTCCATACCTACTTTGTATATAGTTATCATATATTCAAGTCTTCTTTCATCAATGTGACCCACTGGCATTTTTTATCTAGTAGAGTAAATGGATCACTGAAATTCAACCTGAATGCATAGACTTTTTTGTTTATTATTTACTAAGCCTCTGTTCAAAATGTGGCTTAGATGTTAGTACCAACTTTTAATTTTTTAAATTTTCATTTTATTTTGAGAGAGAGAAAGAGAGACAGACAGACAGATACAAATATTCTGTCCCATAATTTACCTACCAAATACCCACAATATCCAGGGTTTGGTCAGGTCAGAGCCCAGAGTTTAGATCTCAACATGGGTCTGCTGAGTGGGTGGCAAGAGCCCAATTAATTGAGTTATTATTTTCTGCCTGGCAGGGTGTACAGCAGCAAGAAAATTGGTAGGAAACAAAATAGTCAGGACTAGAACCAGGCACATTGATAATGGACTTGAGCATCCCAAGCAAAAACCTAACCACTAGGCCAAATGCCTGCCCTATTTACTAACATTTAACATCAGAAAGCTATGGGTTAAGACATATAAGGCTATCAACAAAATGCTAGCATACAATAATGAACAAATGTCATCCCTTCTCTACCATGTCTATTCCAAAGACCATTTCAAAGAATATCATCTATATCTTATGGGCAAAGGATTTCAGCAGGCATTTTTCAAAAGAGGAAATTCAAATGAACTTTAGACATATGAAAAAATGATCACTAGCCATCAGGGAAATGCAAATCAAAACTACAATGAGGTTTCACCACATTCTACTCAGAATGGCTCTCATACAGAAATAAATAAACAATTAATGCTGATGAGGATGTGGGGAAAATGTGCCCTAATCCACTGTTGGTGGGAATGTGAACTGGTGCAGCTATTGTAGAAAATAGTATGGAGGTAACTCAGAACCCAGACATCCCACTACCTGGAATATACACAAAGGAAATGAAATCAGTATATGAAACAGTTATCTGTACCCATATGCTTATATTAGCTTAATTCACAATAGCTAAGATATGGAATTAAACCAGATTTCCATCAACTGATGAATGGATAAAGTAATTATGGCATTTATACGTGGTCACACAATGGATTGCACAGTTCCTTTGTGTGGTTCTTGCGGCAGCACGGACAAATATAGTACCCACTGGAGCCAGAACTCAGGTACTGGTCTCCTTTAAGGAGAAGAGTTAAGCATGAGACAATGCAAACAGAACAGGAAAAACCTCAAATCTGATAAAAAAAAAAAAAAGAGGAGATCAATCACGCTCAAACCGGGTGTCACCTTGGACACTCCCTTCTCATCAGGAACACTACAGGCTAGAAGAGAATGGTGATATATATATTCCAAGTCTTAGAGAAATAAATTGTCAACACAGAATACTGTACTCTGCAAAGCTCTAATTTATGAATGAAGGTGAAATAAAGACCTTCAATAACAAACAGAAATTGAAAGAATTAGTTACCAGCAATCCAGCCTTACAAAAGATGCTTAAGGATGTGCTACACAAGAAACATAGAAACATGATCATCACTATGAAAGAAGATGAAGGCAGAAAATCTTCCACTAGAAATTCAAAGGAAATCCAAAGGAAACAATAGGAATATATATGGGAAAATGGCAGGGCCAAGTCATTACTTATCAATAGTCACTTTGAATGTAAATGGCCTCAAATGTCCAGTTAAAAGATACAGACTTGCAGGATGGATTAAAAACAAAACTCATTTATTTGCTGCCTACAAGAAACACATCTCACCAACAAAGATACCCACAGACTGAAAGTGAAATGATGAAAAGGATAATTCATGCTAACAGAAACCAAAAAAGAACTGGCATAGCCATCCTAATATCAGACAAAATATACTTTAACACAAAAACTGTTAAAGAAGGACACCATTAATGATTAAGGGTTCAATTCTACAGGAATATGTGAGTATTATAAACATGTGCACCTAATTACAGGGCACTGGTTTATTTAAAAGATATGTTAAGGGACTTAAAGGGAGACATAGACTCCAATACAATAGTAATGTGGGACCTCAATATGCCACTTTCAGCATTGGACAAATCAACCAGAAAGAAACAACAGAGTTAATCAAGAATATAGACCAAATGGATCTAACAGATATCTACAGAACTTTCCAACCTACAGTTGCAGAATACACCTTCTTCTCAACAATGCATGGAATTACTCTAGGATTGACCACATGCTAGG